GGCCCCGGCGCCGGCCCCGGCCCCAGCCCCGGCGCGCCCGCCGGCGCGGCCGCCACCTCGCCGCACCCCGAGCCGCCGCTCGTCGTCGTCAAAACGCTGGCCCCAGGCGCCTCCGAGGAGCTCGCGTAAGTGCACGCCCGCGCCCCGGCCGCGTTCGCCTTTTTCGTCCTTCCTCTTCTTGTCCTCTTTCCACTTATTTCCTTTTTTTAGTCTCGCTTTCCCTTGTTCTTCTCTTTCTCGTTGTATCTTCCTCTTGGTCACTTCTTTTTTGTCTCTTCCTCTGCGTCTCTTTCTCTTCGTCTCTTCCCCTTCGCTTCGTCATCTTATCCTCGTATTCGTCTCATCTTCTCTTCGTCTTCTACATCTAGAGCTCTTCGTCTAGTCTTCTTCGTCTCATCTTCTTCGTTTCCTCCTCTTCGTCTCCTCCTCTTCGTCTGTGTATCTTTACTTTTTCAGCTTCCTCTTCTAATATCCCTCTACCCCGTTTTTTTCTTTCTTCTCCTTTGTCTCTTCTGTTCCTTCATTTGTTAACTCTTCTTTTGTTCCTCCCCCTTCTTCTTCCTCAAATTTCTTCCTACTCATAATTTTAGTCATTAAAAATGTTTGATTCTGTTTGTAAACTAAAAGTTAGTGACAGATTTCTGCAGCAGAATGTAATTATAATCTACTAAATTGCTTCTTCCTTCATCACTGCACAATTAGCATGCTGCTATTCCTGATGTCAACCATCGCGATGAGATTTTCATTAGTGAAACTTATTTATTCATACTGTAATTATTGCTCTGTAGCTAATATAGTTATACTAACTGCCGCTATAGCTGTATAGCTACAGTTATAGCGACAGCTGTAGTTATATTAGCTGTAGCCTCATTAATTGGATTGTTGGTGAAGTAGATACCTTTTTATTATGATAAATAAATAAAGATGTCAGGTATCAATATTTTAATTCAGCTTATGATCATTTCGATCGCGTAGCGATCATCCTCACAGCTAAAATATGAAATACAAATATTATTAACAAGATGTAGTTATTGTATACAAGATACGTAAGCAAACTGGATCGTACATATCTTGCAGCTTCTGGGCCGAAAACAAAGTTCTGCGAATTTTTGAGCGCGTGTCTTGTTTAAGAGCTCAGCCGGTCGGCAGCGGGAGGGGGCGGGATAAGGGGTGTGGTGCGGGTAGCCTCATTAGCTGCAGTACTGTAGCTAATGTTGCCACAGTATATGAACAGTAACCGAGCAATAGAGAAAATGTGTATTATGCTTCCACCCACTAGGTGATTTTTAATTTAGAAAACAAAGCAAATCAGCTTGCTTCCACTCCCGTATCTACTTTCTGTGAGCAATGGCCCTTTGAAATGTCAACCCTCGGAGTTACGATTCTAACACGTGCTGACACTTCTAAATTACGATTTAGAAGTGTCAGCAATTTTAGAAATATTTAAGTATAATTTGGTATACTAATTTAGGGTGAATATTCAATAAAACTTTTGGTGGTCAATTAAAATATAATTAAAAACGTATGTTGAGTTGTTTAATATTGGATGTTGTGTATGTTCAAGAAGATCGTCAGTTAATCACATACTTCATTACATCTTTCATATACTGTATTTGCTGGAAAATAGACGCAATTCTTTTTTCACACACACAAAAAAAAACTCAATATAAGTCATTGGTGCATTTTGCACCGTGGAAAACGCGTATAAAACATACTGCCCTCCTGAAGTCGAATTTCTAACTTAGAGTTATCAGATCTGAAAATGTCTAAGCTGCCTAAAACTGTTAATATAATAAATCAAAATGGTTGCAATGACATATTTTATTAAAATTTTTGAAGTGCTAACAAAAGTTCTCGAATACGCCAATGTTCAAACACACTTCATTCGCAATTGAATAATATTATAGTTCAGTTCGTTCTGTAAATTTCCAAACACCAAGACTTAATTTTCCACCAAGCCTAGGATCGACGTTGTCCTTAAGAAAGAATCTGTGGACCCTCAACGACCATTTCGGAAACCCCGTTTCTAAGGTATGTAGGGCTTCATCCCTCTTCCATACTCTCTCCTTTAAATCCCCCTGCCACTTTGACCTTCCATCTCGACTTACGTCTTTTCCTCTCTTTCCTGTCAGAGGCAGGCAGTCTCCCCTTTCTCCCACATATGCCTCCCTCTTCGCTCCACGTGGCCAAACGATCTCCGCCTTCGCCTTGCATCTTTTTGCTAATGGTCCCGGCTTCTAGAGATGCACGGGAAGCGAGCACATCGGGCAGTGAAATCTGTTCCCGCCGAAGTACGAGGGAGGCCGCGAAAGTTATGGAAACCATTTTTGCTCCCTGACAATGCGCGTTAGGTCAGAAATGCAGCAGTATATAAGTGGAAGACCAAATGCTTGTTAACCTTTATTGTACGGATTTTGAACGACCCCTTTAGGATAAAAGATAAAATAAGGAGCATCAATCGTTAATTTCAAATGTGTATGGTCCTTGCGGTTACAAACTTGCTGTCAAAAACTTATGTAAAGTATGTTCGTATCGTTCGTGCATAGCAATCTTCAATAAGCTAATAAAAGTAGAATTGAAAGTGTTTACTCAGTCTTCTAGGTCACTCTATTAAATTATCTTATCATATAGTACAAAAAGTAGCAAATATTAAGGGTTGCCCATTTTTTATTTATCAATGTGTTTCCGGTTTCACTTGTTGTTTTATTGCATTGCTTTATTCTCATTGCTGTTGAATTCGTGTAAGTTAGTGTTCGACACCCAAAAGTCATTATTGTAAAATACAACATTCCTAGCATTTCATTCACATTAACTAGTGCAAACGAAAACATGAATGAACGCATGTTACTCACTACGTTGAATGAGGCCTCCTGTCACGGGATCATGGAAAATGATCACTGGGAAATGACCGGAGAAACGAAGTTACTCACTGTAGCCTGAAAACAGATCTGTAGTATACACCAGGGATTTCCAAACTTTTTGTTTCATCGACCCTTTTTAAAAGAACTATTTGCTTAATTGACCCCCCCTCACTTACGTTTCTCTATCATACACAGCATTCTTAATCATGAGACAAAGAATTCAGGGCGAAGGTACCTGATTTTTCAGTAATCGAAGACGCTTCCGTTTTTGAGTAGCTAAAAGAAGCCCAAATAGTTTTAAGAGAATAAAAAAGGCAAAGTGAAATACCCTTCTACGAACAATTTAAATAACTTAAGTACGAGGTACCATACCATTTTAAACAAAACGCACTTAAAACATTAAAAAACCCAAGCTGATCTTAAAATTATTTTATTCAATAGTTTAAAACTTCCATTCTAAGTATTACATGTTCGTAGATCCAATGGAAAGAGAACATGACCAGAAAACCAAGGGACGCTAACTTGCATAATTTTCCACTTTTTTTTATCTATTTCCGATGTATTTAAAGCCATTTAAAATAAAAATCTAACTGTCTATTCAAAATAAGATATTATGTTTTTGGAAAATCTTTGTAAATTGAATAATGTCCAAAAGTCTTTCACAAAATGAAACTATTGATACGTGAATAAGTTCATGAATCCGTGATGAAGAGTTTCATTTTGTAACTACATAAATTCATAAAAAAACTACATAAATTCATGTAAAATTAACGAACGAAATATATATTATATCGATATATTTTATACACAATACAAGACACACAATATTTTTTTTTAATTCAGAGAACATTGTCACATAAATAACCAAGTATTGAAATATTTTTATCTTCACAATTTCGAAATACTTTTATACTACACTCAACATTTCTCACTTAACAAATAAATTTAACCTAGGACGTAATACAGTGCATCCTTGCCGCATCAAATCCAAATTCCCAAAAGAAAAGTTTCGGCCCCCGTAAGTACATGATAAAACCAAATCAAACATTTAATCTAATATTAAAGCATGCAAATGTTACATAAACACTAAACCAAGCCCATCTCAAACGAACACTTTAAAAACAGAGTAGCGATGCCAAGCTCAAAATGCTATGGAATATCATTCCAAACAATGAATAATATATTGTATCCAAGCACTTGAAAGACCACATGACCGAATCAGAAGAAAATAAATGAACAAAATTTTTCATTTTACCAACTGAATTTTTATTTCTTAGACTAGAATGAGCTAATATACATAATAAAATATTCTATAAGTTTCAAAACATTTAGAACATTTACGGCCAGCTATTTTATTTACTTCTAGGGAACGTTCCAACTTCAAATGAATCACGAATATTTTCAACGCAACTGTACATAGTTCACAATTCTTTAACATTCGCGTTGAAAATCATGCTACAAAATGAAGACATTTTGTTTTCCGATTTGGCTTAATATTGATCATAACATCATAGTTTTTAACCGAACATTTATCTGAATTAAACATTCCATTCCTTTTCGTAAACGTCGGGCCTTGTTGAACCCATGAGCAGACCGTTTGTTACGATGAAAGTTTCTCACTTTATGAAAATACCTCAAAGTATTTCTATTCTTTTCGCTGAATAAAAAAACTAAAGACGTTTTGTACTTTCTGTAACATGGATCTTTTTTTACAGAATTTTCTTTAATTCTTGTAATACAGTATCTAATAAACTCTCCATTTTACTCTTTGTCACTACTGTACTTTTCATTCAGGAATCTCGAACAAAAGAACGAACAATGATTGATTGATGATTGCGAGCACGTCAATTACTAATGTCATTAGTCTCGTAATGTAGTGAACGTTCTTTCCTTGGGAGGAAGCGATAATCTTTTCCCTTTATGGTGAGATTCGGCATCTACCTTCCCGTCGGCTAGTGATGTTTTCCTCAACCAGGTATCTCCCATCAGTGGGGCAACGGCCCACCCAAGACAAGCTCTAAGCCGGTCTATCGGCATGTGTGGTAGTGTAGTGCGTGTGATTGTAAGTAACGGTGATGATAGGGCAAGGAAGAGGAAGGAAAGATCGCGCGTGGTTCGTGGCTCTTTAGTTATTGTTCTGCTACTGCATTCGACTGGTATTGATTGGAGAAACTATGGAACGCTACCGATCAGATCATCCTGCCGCTAGAATTCCCCTCCAGATAGAGGCTGCATTCGACCTAGCTGACAAGCCAGTGTTGAAA